TAGCCCCCCCCCCCCCCCCCTTTTTTTAAAATGTACATTAGACATGGGTGATCTCAGAGTTTGGTCACGGCAAGCTCGACCCTCTTACAACCTACCCGACGTATAGATCTATGGCTAAATATTGGTATTTTAATTTACGTGATACATGTATTATTTTTTGATGAAATTCACAGGGAAAGAGAAAGAGGAAGGTGATAATTTATGATATAGAGCTAGCTATCAATATCAGCTATCCATTTTTTGGGCGCTGTTTTAGTCAGAGTGAAAGTGGAAGGCCTAAATAGTACATGTATTTCAAAGAGGGACTTAGATTCGGACTTCTGGGAAATGGAATATGGTTGCATAGAGGTGGAGACAGACAGGCCCTATGCCCTATACAGAAGTTTGTAGGCCTAGATGATATGCTGATTGATTTGATGTTGGTGGCCTCCGGCACTGAGTGAGAAAGGCTTATATTATTGATGTTTTGGCTGGTTTGTGCAAGCTGAACGCTCTCAGACCTTACCCACTTCTTTCATCGCGATATCCAAAACCACAAATGATGATCAACGCATAATAGAAAAATAGCATAACGTGTATTAGTCTGTCAGCTTGAGGCCATACTTGCTGCACTTGAGAGCCTCGTTTTTCCACGGTAGATTCGAAATTAAAATTTGCTTTTCAGGCTAACTTTTGAAAAAACAACAACAACCCAAAACAAATAACTTTACCAAAATTAAAGTACTTAACATAGATTGGAAATAGATTTGGACAACAAAATCAATATATTTAATTTTAAAGCAATAGCATCCGTAATCCCGCCCCAATCTCCATCTTTGCTCATATCGACGACCAGACCCAACTGTTTCGAGATCATAGTTTTAAATTCCAGTTCCATCAACCCCCTTGTGACGCCCACGATGACTCATGAGTTGTGTACATGTATTAGTACTAGATCAAGTAAGCTCTTATAAGTGATATGGGTTAATGATGATGCAATTTGTCTTTTCAATCCAAATCTGTCCAGGTGAAAAGGAAAAAAAGAGCTGGGGGGCGGGGGTAGTTCTTGTTCAGTTGGAGTTATTTATAACATTTAATATTTATTTACTAATTATTTTTCCTTTCTTTTTTAGTGGAACAAATTGTTATCTCTTGAAGAATAAAAAAAAAAAAAAGCCAAACCAACGTGACAAACATGAAATAGTTGTGGTTCACAATAACGAAAGCACGGAACTGAGAAAATATCCTTCCAAAATTTTCCCAAAGCAAGCAATGAAAACTGAGAATTATTATAGGCCTAATGTGTTTTCTTTTTTCAGCGTATTCACCAGTCTTGCATCTTTGCGTGCAGTAATGTTGTAGAGAAATATTTCTTCCAGAATAGATAAGCCCAGAGACCGTAATAGGGTAAGCCTACGTAAGGGTACAGTTTCCGGAAATAGAACGTGTGCCGATCAAAGAGAGTGAATTTGACTGAGTATAAAGAAACTGCAATTGCTCACCAATGTGTCTTTATACATGTAGATTATATGATTAATGTCCTTTGGTTTTTATGTTGAGCCAATTTGCCGGTGACGTTTTTGTTGAATGGTGCATCCTTCAAGAAGAACCATTCATGATTAAAATATATCGTTTGCTACCCATCCACAACTGGATGTAAAAATGTTGCTGTTTGATGTGGTCTCAGTCTCTTGACAGTGAGCTTAGCTTCACGTAATAAAGAACCAAAGAGAATTTCTAATAAGTATTATACATGAAACATTGCTGTATTTAAAACAAACATTAGATTCCAATTTACAACTTCTCCAACTCATTGATACAATACAACGGTGCTTGCTTTATTATTGTTTGTCCGGTCTCCATAATCCAGAATAAAACTGAACCTAGGCCTTAGGCCTAGAACTAAACACACGCTCAAAATTTCATTCCTGTCACGTGCACAATCTTAGGCCATGGAAATCATTATATTAAACTTAATATGGTTTAACCAAATGTTAGATAATGTCAGAGCTCTATACACCAACAGAAGAGATCAGTAAGAACAGAGGAAGGCACAGACTGGTTCAAAGTAAGATCTGGAGTACGACGTAGGGCGATGCGTTCTATCTATCCACCTATGTTGATAATATACATGGACACAATAATGCAAGACGCAAACCAAAGCAAAAGAAAAAACCTATATGAACTTCTATTCACAGACGACCAATGTCTTGTTCACCCAAACCAACAAAGCCTCCAAAATCACCTACCGAACCGAATAACAGTTGCGAGAAATTTAACATGAAAATAAACATATAAAAAACTTAAGTTATGAAAGTGAGCCGAAACCGTAGTCCCCTGAACATCCATGTCAATAATAAACAACTGAAACAGGTTAAGGAGCTTAAATATCTCGGCAGTACTTTTTCTGAAAACGGGTCCATTGACAGAGAAATAGAAATGCGAACTCAAAAGGCCAACGCTGTCACCCACCGGCGCGCACCCCTCCTATCTCATCCAAACATCTCCATGGACAAAAAAAAAAAAGACTACAACAACACCAAGCACTCATAGTCTCAGGCTATAAAGGAAGAGGAAGGCCACGCAAAAGGTGGATCGAGGGTCTAGGAAACCCTGAGAAAACATAATATCACAACTGAAAGAGCCGCGAGCTCCTACCATAGAAAAGTGCATCTCGCCTCGACGCTTTACCCACTTTACGGCAACAGAGGATGAAAAAGTAAATTGTAACCAGAGAGCACACAGAAAGCCAATGGAAAAAAGGGGGTGGGGGTGTGTTCAGTCTACGCATTGGCCTGAAGCCGAGGCGCCTCACCTGAAGCCCTGAGGGTGTACAAATATGGTGTCAAGTCAAGCGCACCCACAGAATTCTACACTTACTACTTAGTAGTAGAATTCTGTGAGCGCACCCTGCCTAATCACGAGACACAGTGTGGCTTCAGCCCTCGAGCCGCTTGAACCACCAGACAGACTGAATATCATTGTGTCTTTACTTTGTACAGTTGCTTTGTCTCGGCCTTGAGCCACGTAAAGTCCAGACCCCAGTGATATTCAGTAAGTGGGAACCTTCCGAACATAAGCACCGGGGCCTAAACGACAAACCAATGATATTTTATTCTCCCCAACAGCGAAGGAGAGCCGATCTTGGACGGAACTATCTAGATAGTAGTAGTTCTGGTAGTATTAGTTGGTACCCAGACCAATCAGATCAATTTTCAAGTTAATGTTTCAGAAGTTTCGTCTGGGTGTTCGTGAAGTTTCGCTTTTACTTTTAGAAAATCGAAATGCGTTATTATATTTTTTTGTGAAAGGTTTTGTTTCGATTTTTAAAAAGTCAGTCAGAGAAGTAGATCTAACTTTTTGGGGAAGAAAACTAAGTGGGGCTGAAGCTGCAAGCCTCACCCCACAAAACGCCACTGCAGTAGATCTATACCAGTAGATCTACATGGTAATGAAAAGCATTTAAGAGGGGCCAAATCAAGGGGTAAATTTTTACTTTCACTCCCGCACACAGATGCACTGTTTCAGGGGTCAAACTGCTGTACTGTTTGCTGCAGATCACACATAAAGCCACTAAAACTGTCGCAAATCAATTATTTTCAAGACAATTTCAAATCTAACTGTAAAATATCAAATTATGGGTGTAAAAACAGGGGGGCATGCCCCCCCCCCCCCCTGTAACCCCCCAGATTTTCTTTTATCCCAGTGGGGCAGGCCCCCCTCGAACCCCCCGATTGGTCCAAAGCATGTCTATCTCGGTTAAAAACAATCAAATATTTCAAAAACCATTAATTTGCGACGGAAATGAAGTTGATATTCGTGTTCAGTTCAGCGCATCAATATTTAGTAGAAAATAGACAACTGGTAGCTGAGTGTGAGACGGGAGGGAAAGTAAAAAAATACCAATCAAGGTTTCGGTGAACCTGGTCACCAATTCTGAAAAATTGGCACCATGTTTATTATTTTATTTTTCTTAAATGCGGACGATAACCGCATTCTTTTTAGTTGCGTGTAACCTTCTTCAACCCCCAAGTCCCAAGCCACACATCCTTGCCTTGGCCCCAACTTCTCTGGTTATGGGGGTTTCAAAAAGTATCTCACGGCAGCCCAAGAAAGTCTGCGCATGCGTACTACAGACAATTATTTCCGGATATTGCCAAGTTGGCGTTAAACTGTTTGTCCTTTTAGTTTCGTTGAATTCACAATGCTATTAGGGGCCTATGTCCATGGATTTAGAATTCGGGGAACAAAACTTCACAGCCTCCCTCAGTAAATGAAGAGCAGCTCGAGAAGTAATCAAACAAACTGATAACAATTTCAACATTATTTTAAAAAAAGTTATAATCGATTAATATGTAAATTTTAATATTATTTAGACATGCCCCCCGCTCCCACCCTCCACACACAATATTGGATCAACCAAAAGGCCCATGGCCACCAACTTATGAATACAAAGACTGTGAAATAGGAGCATTCTTCTTGTCTATACCTACCCCTGTCAACATAATGTAGAACTTAGGGCAAGAGTATTTGAGCCCCCAAACTTTCTTTTTCTTCGCTGTTTTGCAGATATATGGTTTTGTTCGAGATCACCGATAGGAATATATTATAATTTTTTTAAAGTTCACGAATCCCTCACATATCCATTATTAAGCTATGTATCTGCTGTCCGTCAACATGGCTATACCTGTGACAATTTGACAAACCCTTTTATGGATTTTGTTTACAAAAAACAATCAAACGATTGATATACGGTGTATGCATGATTCCGAGCCCAGCGTAAAACCTGAGAATAACGATGATTCAATAGTGACACATTGCAGTTACAATTTGCAGGGGTTATCAAGTAGACTTGACAAAAATGAGTTTGCATTGCATTCTCATTGAAATTTGTTTATTCTTTAACGTGAACAACACCACATTTGACAAAAAATATTGCGTTTCGTAATCGGACAAAAAAAAAAAAAGACTGAATCAATGGGTGGAAATAATGTTGTTATTATTTACTTAGCGGGTAACCTCTGCTGAACCTGACATGTGTGCGGTCTGCCTGAATTAGTAAGTAGGTCGGCTTGGGCGTCCTCGTCTGTGATTGTTGGGAAGAAGTACCATGCTGTGTTTTGCATAAATCGCCTAGTAAATATTTCTACTCGATCGGTAAGTTATACATATTATGTGCTTTTTATATTTTGGGACTGTGTAGGGGTTTATGGCGGAAGCTAGATCTAGATTAGTCTTGTTTGTCTTTGCATGGGGGAGACATCTCGGCCTCGGACTTCCGCCATTTTGAGTCTTTGCTAGAGTCTACAGGCCTAATGTCTTTATTGTTTGGTCCCCAACGATATTTGTTTTCTTCTTTGGCCTTCGTCAGGGCTCATTGCTCTCAGATGCATTCTTTGTTTGCTTGTGATTGTGGCGTTAGTAGGAATGGTGCTATTGAGCTGTTTTGTTAGTTCGTTAGATAGCGATTGTGACGCGGTGACACCGACCAATGCTCAATAGAATAAGCTACTCGAAGCAGCCTACCGGTCCGGGTCCCGCTGATCCGCCGATCGCCTGAAGCTCGACCTCTGGCTTAAACTTGTTGGCGATTGTTGATGTTGTAGTGGTAAGATCTACCACTCTAGATTCTCAGGTAGGATCTAGATCTAGATATCTAGTCACTGATGATTATTTTTGGAAGGACTTCGTAAGGAGCGACCACCCCATCAACAAACACAATCAATAATATAATATAAAGAATAAAGAAGAGGCCTAACCCTACCCCTACCCCTACCCCTCCTAGATCTACCCCTACTCCTAGATTCTAGATCTACCCATATCCCTAGCTGCCCTCAATTCTGCTCTGTCTCATAGTCTATAGTGGTCGCTAGTTACGAAAGTCCTCCCGTAGGTAGTATTATTCTCTAGACCTATAATCTAGATCGATCTAGATCTAGATCTAGATTTTTCTAGATATCTAGATCTAGATCTAGATATCGGTAAGATTGTACTTTACCGGACCACCGGTCGGAACTACTTTCGCTATGGCGCCCCTGGTGCCCAGTGGCCCGCTATTCTTGGTTTCCGAGCTCCCCTACTCACTCTCCTACTCAGTTTTCTACGTCCTCACTCTTCAACTGCCAGCAATCGACTGACGTCTCTTACCGGGTTTTTCAGTCATCACGACCGTGCCCTTTGACCCATGACCCTGACATCTTGAGGCTAATTGGTCAATCTAATCACGTGGTCCACTATTCTTATTTGCTTGCAACTGCTGGCCTGGCCTAGCCTAGGCTAGGCCTACTCCTGGTCCGGCAAAGTACAATGGAGGGCTAAAGATGCACACGAGAGCTCATTTGCATAATTGCAACCCCCTCGGCCCTGCTCGCAACTTGGCGAGTATCTACCCCGATTGTCCGCTCATGTTATTGTTTATAATATGTGTGTGTGAGTGTCTTTAAATTATCGAAGTGACTATTTCTCCGAACGTTCGGAGAAATAGTGCCGATCTTTATTTCTCCGAACGGTTTTCGGCTTCCGGTCTCGTGATTTTTTGCCTATTTATTGCGAGAGTTCGGCGCCAACTTTCATTCAGCCTCTGGTCTGGGAAGGAACACGTACCGCATGGCAAGCCCGCCTACAGACAAACTTCAGTAACACCCACCACACACCCACCACCATCATGCACATGTACACACACTAACTAAACATAACTAGTGGGCAACTTTTGAACGTATGACGAGCTGAACTGTGGATGGAGAGACAGTGTGAGTGAAAGAGCGGGTGAAAGGAAGAATGTGCGAGTGTATCCACAGGCGACAGCAACTACAAGACGACGACACTGACCACCCCTGGCCTGGTCCACAGCTCACGAACAAAAGGAATGTAGCTCAGGCGGTGTTTTGCCTATATTATTGTCCATGGTTCGCAGGGAACAAGTGAGATTTTCTTTGTGTGTGCCTGGAGGGATGGGGTGGGGTATGAAAGTCATGCGGACGGGGATGAGCCGCGGGAGAGAACACGGGAATTGAATTGAAGAGTGAAACTGAAAGAGACGAATGACTCATGAGTCCTGGAGTGAATGGATCCTGTGTTTCTATTTTTGTATACTTTGAACTGTTACTGAATAAAGGCTGAAATAAAGCCCGAAAAACAAACAAACACACACACACACTCCTCACTCTCCACTTACTACCACACACAGACACACTCAAACACTCACACACACACACACACACACACACACACAGGAGCAAATTTTTGGGTCTATATCTATTTCAATTTTCAACAGCTAGTCTAGATGAGATTTTTAGATGAGTGTAAAAACGTGAAAAAGAAAGGTTTCACAACAGAAAGAAATCAAAATTAGAACAGCCCATAAACAACAACAAACATTAACAAATAAGGGCGTGTGTCCACCTATCCGAAGAAGATTGGCAGTTTTAACCCTAAATGTGCGTAATTTTTAAAAAAGTACAGGATATTACATGTAAATTATGGAATCACACACATTAAGGGGCTTGCCAGTGTCAGTACATTGGTCGCAGCAGTGACAAACGCAGATGCCAGTTCTATGTGTCGTTATCAATAACCCTCCGTAGATCTAGATCTAGACAGCACACGAGTGAACACAACACATTACGTTTAGTTTAAAAGCAGTACCCTTCATAGGCAACACGTCATATCTATAGCGAAAAACTGTTTGGAATTGTAGCATTTCTTTATATAAATATTTACGGCGGACATTTTTGGGACCGATTGAACCATATTGTATACGAACAATCTTTGGTAGGCCTATACTATAATTATAGATCTCTATATAATATCCGAAATTTTGGGGAAAGGATGATATTTCAGTGTGTTCGGAGAAATAGTGCCCAGCTTTATTTTCCTGAACGTTCGGAGAAATAGTGCCCAGCTTTATTTTCCCGAACGTTCGGAGAAATAGTGCCCAGCTTTATTTTTCCCGAACGTTCGGAGAAATAGTGCCGGCCTTAAATTATTGTTGCCAGGGGGGTAGCCCCCCTGAAACCACACCCCCCCCCCCCCCCACTGTTGTTACATACATATGTAAACACGACTGTCCGCTCATGTTATTGTTTCGCATTTTTGTGTGTTTTCTTTATTATAGTTTCCAGGGGGGCAAGCCCCCCCTAAACCCCCCCTCCCCCTCCCCACTGTTGGTATGAGTATGATACACCATGGTCCACCAAAGTTAAATCCCCTGCCCACTCTCAACCACCAACTCTCGCTCACCTCGCCTCGCCAGTTGCCGCTGGCTTGCGCTGTGCGTGCGCGAAGTCGCCCGCGGAACTACCTTTTGTCCGCACGCAGAGTACTATGACTATGAGAGCGTAGTTAGGCCAGGTGTGCGTAGTAATCACGGACCGAGACGGGTGGTCCGGTAAAGTACAATCCAGCCTAGCCTAGATATCTAGATCTAGATCTAATCTAGATCTAGTTGAAGTAGTTGTGCCTCTACCCTCTGTACAATTGCGGTCCTGTTCAGGGATACTCGTTTTGACCCCACCAACGATTACTTCTGGTTCTAAACGACTAGAATCTAGATCTAGATATATCTAGATCAAGATGTCTAGACTAGAGCCCCTGTACGGCATACCGACACCTTAGTGCCTTAGTGTTTTGTGATGACTATTTCCGGAAGTGAACTTTTGTATTAGAAATCTACCATAACTTCGGCTCTTTCAAATACATCGACCCAAAATTTCGTTTCGTTGAGAGGCCAGCCTTTCCTGTCGGTGTGGGGTGAAGTTTTTAGTCAGATAGTGTATAAAGAAGACCCCTAAATGAGACTTGACGCATGTCATGACATGTACCCCATACCGGCACGTATCGTGTTTTCTGTCAAGGCATGTACCCCATACCAGCACACTCTAATTGAAGCACAACTAGCAGGGTCCCCACAGGGTTGGGAAATCGGGAAAAAGTCGGGAATTTTTAGATAGGTCGGGAAAAGTCGGGAATTTTGTAATGGGTCGGTAAGTCGGGAAAGTATAGGGCCTGTGTAATGTGGAGCTATCTAGACTGTATGGTTGATGAATCCTTAATAAGCCTTAAGAGGAAACGTAATTGAACCGCTGTGACGGAAGTATGTGTGACACCGAGGCTCGATCGGGAAGAATCAAGATCTGCTTTCGTTACCGCCCAGAAATTTTCCGGTAATAGTCTGATAGATAACGCAACATTTGTAACATGCAGGTTGTGCATTACGAACGCTGTGTGGCCTTGAAAATAAATCAATATTAAAAATTGCCCTCTGCTGTCGCTTGTGGGGAAAAAAAAAAGAAAAAGAACTTATACAAGTGTCTTGACTGGTTCGCCCTCGTGACCGGTCAATGAACCTGTGAGTACCGGCGGTCTGAGCGTTGTGAAGTATAGGACTCCTTTATAAGATACACTCGTGGAAGGGGGGGGGGAGCTGAAGGCAACGCTAGAGGACAAAAACTGAACTTGGAAGCAAATTTTTTTTTTTAGCATTTTGATTACTACTTTAGAGCTCTCTGCAAAGCGCGCGTTGGTGCAGGCCTTGTGTGGAATCAGGATCAGTCATGCCTTGTTATTGAATTAAAGTGTTCGTGTTTCATTGGATGGGGTGATTGTAATTTATATCTATATTTTATTAGCTTTCTGTTCAAGATTGGCAGATTTTTAGTGTCACTGCATCTTGCGCGCCCCCCCCCCCCCCAGTTCTTACACCTCTCACACTGAATAGGTGTACTTGAGCCATTCTAGTTATTACTCTACTTTTTGAGTTGCAGCAATGGTTTTCGTCTTCACGTTTATTATATGAATCGTGACACCCAGACTGGTTATTGACAGTCGATTTTCTAGTTCTAGGTCTTTTTTCAGGCTCAAAACAGGATTCATTTTTTTAATATATAGGCCTATGGTTTATGTTGGCTAATATGATGATGGGAAAATATAAATAAGTAAGAACAGATTGAAATACCAAAGTCTCTCAAGATCCCAGTGCCACACTGACGTGTTGTTGACTGGATATAATGTACCTACATGTGTGTGTGTATTCACAAGACAAACATATACATGTATTATATTAGATATAAATGGAGCACACGCTTTCATTGTTATGTAACGTGTTCCTAGAAAATGAATGAGGCCCCTCCCTTGGAAAATTGAGAAGCTGGTTTGGCAGT